GTTGAGGTTTCAGTGGTGACAGAAAGGGTGGGAAGACCCACAGTGGTTGGGTCTTCTACTAAACACAGCAGCCCCAGCTGCCCAAGAAGCAGCAGGCACCCTATGGGAAAAGAGTCTTTCTGTTCACTTGGATTTGGTTCTGATTTGGGTGGTCCTGGGGGTAGGGCCCAGAGTCATTCCCTTAGTAGCGACCACTTGGCTACTGAGCTACTCCCCAGCCCTCTGTTCTTTTTCAACATGAGGTGAGGTCTCCATAGGTTTCCCAAACTGGCCTTTCACTCTCTGGAGCCTAGGAAGGCCTTGAAATTTTGATCCTCCTGCCTCAGCAGGTTTGAACCTCCAGATCCTGTTCATTCCTTATGAAACACTAACCCCAGTTTTCTTGATAGAGAGTGTTTGATACATCTCTAATCTTAACTCACGTGAGGAGTGCCATCTTGGACAGAGGTCTTAGCCATTCCAGTCGGTGGCCTCCAGTGTTAATCAAGTGCAGGAGGTAGGCAGTTTGTTTTATTTCATATTTTTTTTATCTCATGGTCTAGATGTACTCAAATCAGTGCACAAATTTCAGAGCAGACCCCCACTTCCTCCTGGCCATGGATCATCTTCCCTCATTGGCCCCCAGGCCTTTGCGTAACCTCTGGACTTCTGAGGGCGGAGAAAATGAGGTAGAGAATATTTTTCTATCTATGGTCTTTGCTTCATTCCCAGCCCTGTGAATTAGAGAAAGCCAAAGACGTGGAGACCCTGCAGGATATGGCCTCAAGCAGCACTAAGGGCAAACTGGCCTGGCTGGAGGCTGCCCTGCAGCGGGCCAAGCAGGACATGGCGCGGCAGCTACGTGAGTACCAGGAGCTCATGATTGTCAAGCTGGGCCTGGACTTCGAGATCGCCACCTATCGCAGGCTGCTGGAGGGCGAGGAGCAGAGGTGAGGTACCATGAGGTCAGGGAATGAGTGTCAGGCTTTGGCTCTCCTGCAGCCTGTCTTCCCACACCTTGAACAAAAAAGGCCCCAGCACTGGTGTGGGCTGAGTCAGTGTCAGACAGTAGAGCCATTTGTCCATCAAGACAAGGAGACAGTGGTAGGAGCCAAGGCCAGACCCAAGGAGCTTGCAGGCTGGGGCTATCTAGTCTGGGGGCGTGGTAGTCGGAGCTGTCTGTCTTGAGGAATCTGGTAGGTGGACTGACTTACCTGTTGCTACTTTTTGCCACAGGCTTGGTCTGGGACTCGGGGCAGGGAGAGAGGGTAAGTGACTTGGGTAAGATGTGAGCTCTTCTGGCACCTTTTCCCCATTCCTCCAGTCCCTAGAGAAGGCAGAAGGGGTCTATCTGTGTCTCTGTGCAGATCGCGCTTGTGGTGGGCCGTTTTTTCTCAGGGGGTGATTTCCTGTGTATGTTATGAGAGAGGACTGTTATTTACCCTTATGTGGGAACCCAACCTCCTTCTGGTGCCGAGGAGCGTCTTGGAGAAGTCTGTGGGCCTCCCTGGCAGAGACAGGGCGGGAAGGCTTCCCTGAGTCCTTTGATCTCACCTCCCACGTGGCTCTCCATGCAGCTCCAGGCAGCGATGTCATTGGAGGTCCCGGCCTGACCTCGGTCTCCGCCCCACTTCGGGCACCAGGACTTTGTTCTCGTGGCCTGGACATGAGCGCCCCTGGCGGTGTTTGCGCGCTCTGCAGCTCCGCGGCCTGTGTCGGGGGTTTTGGCTGCCTTGGCTCTCGGGAATGTTGAACCTTTCCCTCCCGGCTTCCTTCCGGAGAAGACTAGGAAGTCGTGCATCTGCCCAAAGAATTGGCCCTCTTGTCTCAGATTCCCTCGCAAACAGAGCGGGCCCTTATCCCACCATCTCTTTTGCACCTCACCTGGGACTAGATAGGATGCTGGTGTCATCCTGTAGACACGGCCCGTGGCTTACCTGAACCTTGTTCCCTGCTCCTCTAACTTGCCCCATCCTTCCCCCCCCCCTAGGCTTCCTCCTTTAATAAAACTTTATGCAGTAGCTAATCAGCCAGCCTGTCTGAACCTGACTTCCGGGCAACCCCACAACCAAGGTCTAGCTCTGACCCATAGGCTCCAACCAATAATACTGCTGTGGAGGAATATGACGGTGTGTGGGTGCAAGGTAAATCCCATAATTGTGTGCCTGGGTCCACAGTCAATTATGCTGGCAGGCGGACAGGGGACACTTCTCTGTCCACTCACCGGTCCTTCACTCTCTCGGCCCTTGTTTCAAAGTTGAGGCCTGTACCCAGTGACTTGTACATACTAGGCAAGTGTTCCACTGCTCAACTACATTCCAGCACACACACACACCCCTTGTGAGGCAGGGTCTCACTATGCAACTCAGACTGGCATGGAACTTCCTGTGTGGCCCAGGACTGAACTCAAAAGTCTCCTGCCTCAGCATCCCAAGAGCTGGGGTTACAAGTGTGCACCACGACACCCAGCTCTACTGGAATGGTGGTCTAAGGTCCCATCTAGTTCTCAGCCCTGGGGACTTGACAGTAAGACACTCTAGCCTTGTTCTCTGGAGGCAGGACACTGGCACAGAAATAAGTAGGAATAAGGAAGAATGGCACGGGGAAGAAAACCTGCCCTCTGCTGCCCTGACATACTAAAGGCCAGGCTCAGGCCCAAGCTGGGCCGAGATAGACAACACTGGGTGGCTCAGGCCTGAGGCACAGGGAAAAATCCTCACCTTTATGTCCAGACCTGAGGGATAGTTTGGTCTGAGTTCTCACAAGGGACAGAAGATAGCCCAGTTATCTGAAGGAGAGGTGGCCAGAGCAAGGCTGGCTCTACAGGCTGGAGAGTGTTTAGAGAGCTCACATTCTTTTCCCTTGCGAAAACGATTACATCATCATTGTGTCTTGGGAACAATAGTTCCTGCTCTCCATGTCTGTCTCTGGGTGGGGTGCAGGTGCGTCATTAGCCAGAGGCCTGGCATTGCCTTTTAAGGAGCTTGAGTGCCAGAGTGTCTGCTGGTTCCTGCTTCAGCACCTGAGGAACAGGTATCCAAAGCGCTCCTTTCTTGGGTAAACACAACAGTCTCATTGAAAAGGAATGGATGGAAACTTGGCTTGCTGGTGACCACACACATCCTCGTCATCCCCAGTGGGTCTTCTCTGGTCCTTTCTAATCAGATACTCATTTTTTTTTCTGAGACAGTGTTTATCTGTCCTGTTCTAGAACTCATATGTGCCACACACATCCTCGTCATCCCCAGTGGGTCCTCTCTGGTCCTTTCTAATCAGATACTCATTTTTTTTTTTTCTGAGACAGTGTTTATCTGTCCTGTTCTAGAACTCATATGTAGACCAGGCTGGCCTTGAACTCACAGAGATCCGCCTGCCTCTGCCTCCCAAGTGCTGGGATTAAAGACCTGCGTCCCCCTACTGCCCAGGTCAGATACTCATTCTTACTGACTCCCCCAGTGCAAGGAACCCTGGGAGTGCAGCCCCCTCTGTGAGCTTCCAGTGTCCAGCTCTGTGTCCCCTTTGTTTTTCTGGGAGTAATGAGCTAGATATTCAAAGGCAGGTTTTTCTCTTTCCCCCCCTCCAGTTTCAGTGCATGTATCTGTCAGTGAGGGAGTTTTGAGGGAAGTACAGATAGAAACATCTCAGGGACTTACAGGCAGGACTCTTGGCCAGTGTCCTGTATCCTGGCTCCTTGGAGACCGACTGCCACATTTTCCCTTTCTAACCTCTAAGTTTTGATTTTCCTGGTGTCTGTCCAGAGATTCCCAAGGGCCTGGCCTCAGGTCTAGGGCTATTTGAATTACCAGAATATCTATGGTTTGGGACCTATTCTCTGAGAGGTTTCCCAAGCCATGGGCCACATTCCAGTGAGGGATGGGGGAGACTGGCCTGGTAGCTTTACCAGGAGTCATTTGTTCTGAGTTGAGGTGACTTCTGAAAAGAGCAGGGCTGTCCCCACTTCATTCATTGCTTCTCATTACAAGAGTGAGGTAGGAGAGGAAGATGGGAAATTAAGGGTCATGGGAAGGGGGAAAAGCCTCTTACCCTAAGACTTAATGTATATGTTTAACTGGCTGAATGTGTTTAACACACTGCCTGAATCAGGGAAGACGAACTAAAGAGAAAAAAGTACTTTGAGGGGCAATCAACAAATGTTAAAGACAGAGTGTGCAACTTTGAGTCTAATTTATGGGCATTCATTCTCTCTCTCTCTCTCTCTCTCTCTCTCTCTCTCTCTCTCTCT